AACACTATTGCAGAGTGTCTGTTCATGTTCAGTAATGTCCTGATTAGTTGGTTATTAAGTTAGATCAAGGCTGTGCAACCAGTTTTTTTTTTTTTTTTTTTTTTTTCAGATATTGAAAATGGCTGGGTACTTTCTGGACAATCTTTGCATACTAACCAATTAACGGCAGCAGAAATTACGATCATCCACAGTTAATGAGTTAACTACTTAATTTCCTCTACTAAATGATATTCACTTCATTCTCAGTATGTTTATCATTTACCACAGAATTAATGGTATTTCATTTTTAATCACTTTGTATTCTTATAAATAAGTTATGGTTTTACATAATCATTTTTACATCCCCTACCCCCAAGATTCTCAAATTTATTGGAGACTGGGTCTGGCAGATGTAAAACATCAAACAAAATGTCTTACAAAAGAGGAATTTGTACAGCTGGGTGATAATTGGTCACTTATGGTATATTAAATGCACTGCTGTATATGGCTTGTTCTATAATGTTGCAATTTTGAACATGGCTTGTTCTATAATGTTGCAGTTTTGAACATGGCTTGTTCTATAATGTTGCAATTTTGAACATGGCTTGTTCTATAATGTTGCAATTTTGAACATGGCTCATTGTTCTATAACATTATAGAATAAATCACTATCTGACAAAAACTTTAAAAAAAAAAAATCCTGGACAAAAGTCTCTCTTTTTTTTTTTTTTTTTTTTTTTTTTTTTTTTACTTATTTTCTTCAATTGTCTTATGATTATGCAACACACAGTTCCAGATTTTATACCACTTGTTGCTAACCCAGCTTGTGTGTGTTGCCATGTTTATATAATGCACACTAATATTCAGTTGATGAATCATCCATACTTGTATATAAAACATTATTTTGATTTGTAATCATAATTTACTCATGTTTTCTTCTGGGATCATCACAAGACTAATGTATCAAATGGGGATATTTAGGTGTTACAAAGGAGACATTTTACTATTAGATGCATTGTCAACATTTTTAACAATAAGAAATTTGTCTTAGTTGCTTGAGGGTTTTTTCCTGCTTTACTTTGTCTTTTATATAACAGTGTATTTACTAGAAAATACATTTTCAATCCACATGATAAAAGTTGAAATTTTAAAAATCTTTACCAAGCTTATCTTACTCTAGCACAAAGACAAGAAAAATATGACAAAGTCCATATTCAAAGTATTGACCCTTTACCTGGATTCAATTGACAACCACTGGCATCAGTGGGAAATTAACCATTATCATACTCAAGGCAGACCACTGGCTGAAATAAATAATTCATTTTGTAATGGTGCCTGCTCAAATTGAAATAAATTTGGTCATAAAAATCAAGAGTAGGGAATGATATATTTGTTCTTTAACTGATCCTATCAGTCATATCAATTATTTTCAGTATTTTTCTAATATAGAAAATTGGATTAAGATGACATATATGCATTATTTATTATCTCTTATGTCATGATTTTAAAGCTCCAATCTTGTTTGTACAATTTTCTTTCTAAATCTAGTCCAAATCCTTATCCATAAACTGTAGGCATTGCATAGGCTGTGCTTAAATTAGTTTTCTATATCTAGGAAAAATGTCTCTTTTTCTCACACACACACACACACACACACACACTTCTTTTGATTTTATGTGACTTTTACATTGAATGTTCAGTATTAGTCTTACTGGTATATACATGTTTAAACGTTGCAGTCATTTACTTATTTGGAAAATGTCCCACTCTTCATCTTTCAGAACTACATATAGACATGTACTTCCAGTGATAGCATATTTAGATTGAAGAAGACAGGAAGGATGATCATACAGCTCTCAAATTCATCATCTCATTTTAAAGAATCAATAAAATCTAAATGGAAAGTAACTTTATTATCCCCCACCTCCAAATGGGTGCTATTTATTATTATATATGATTTTTCTTTTACTCCTTTCTGTAACCCTGTCTCTTTATGAATTATATACTCTTCTTATTCTATATATCACTCAGTCCCTTCTTGCTTTGCTGAATATTATCTATTTTCTATTTATTGATCTACCCACACATCCAACATGTGCTTGCTACTACTACCACTATAATGACTGCAACTTGTAATGTTTCAGTTGACTCCTATACATTACACTATTATGTATATTCCACTTGGTTTCCTTTGTTATTACTAATAAAGGAAGGCCATGGAGATACATTTATTAATAATATTGATTGATTGATTTATATGAAGTTTAGGCAATAATGGCTGATTTGTTAAAACAAATCTTTCTTTCAACGATAATGCATATTCATTTTGTTTTTTGTTAGGATTACTTATTTTCAAGGAATAGACATGCTTCTTTCTCCATGCATTTATATATATATATATATATATATATATATATATATATATATATATATATATATATAAATGGTGCTTAACTTTATCGGACTTGTTCTTATTTCTGTCTATCACTGGTAAATGATAAACTAGACTTATCACAATACTTCAGTATTTGTAAACATTAGCATTTAAAATATTTACAAGGCTAACTAAGCCTTCATTGTAGATTGTTATACTATTATGATGGGTATACAGGGTGTTAAAAAGCTCGGTGTAGGCCACTTGCCAAAATCTGCCCCAACTTTTCTCTTTCTCAGTATTTATGTAATAAAAGGGACTGCATGAAATTTAAAAAAACAAAAATAAATTAAATATTTTCATTACTGTCAAAATTCTCACATCTTTTTCACAAAATTTACAATAAATAAAAAACATTGAAATTTTGATGATGCAAGTTCCAAATCAATTAAAATTATTTTTCATTTTCCTAGGATAAGAATAGGTAAAATGCATATATAGGATAAAATAAATCTATTTAACATTTTCAAAATGGCATAAAGCTTAGTAAGACAAGTGATGATTGATTTTGTGGTTATCACATACTCAATGTACTATAACATCCATTAATTTAATGTCACTTCATTTTGAGAGATAAAATGGCAGAATTGTGAAAATAACCATTTCTTTTTTCCTGCCATTTTGGATTTTGTCACCAAAAGGTATTGGATACTGCTTACTGATATGAAAAGTCAGAAGTCTTATCATAATTTATACTCCAAAAATATTTTCATTGCAATTGTTTGATAAATCAAAAACCTATTTTCTGCAATGAGGAAAATGGGTCTAATTACTTTTTATGGAACCGGTAATTTTTTTTTTTTTTTTTTGTTAGCTGGCCAAAGATATAAATATTACAAGTACTATTATACAACATGCTTCTGTATGAAAATTTGATTTAATAATTTGCCTTGTTTTAAGCTGATAATCAATAACATCTAATTTTGATTTTAGGGATTAGTACAAAAAAAAAAAAAAAAATGAAAGCAGGTTCTAAATTATGCCCATAATAACCTAATGGTGAGGCAGGGGTGTCTTTTTTTTTTTTTTTTTTTTTTGTGAAAATGAAATTTGTAAAATGCATAATACAATTTTTAAACAATGGAGTCTAACTTCACAAGACAATATTTTCATATAAAGACTGTCATTTTTCTAAAGATCAGTTTACTCATTTCACAAATCAAAAAAGAAAAACCTGCATAAAAGGTGTGTCAACTTAGGCCTTTTTAAAATCACAGCAATGTAATGTCCTAAAAGAAACACTGATGACTGATGAATACCATTGATGTAGGAATGCCAAGAGAGAATGCTTTGCAATATGCAGCCTCTTGTGCATTTCCTTAAGAGAGTGAGGATATAAAAAGAAATGGTGAAAAGTTTGTGAAATACTGCACAGAATAACACCTTTGAAGGATGGCACACCTGGAAAAGTTTGGCTTTTTTTTTTTTTTTTCTTCTTTTCCACTTTTATATTGTTTGAGTTTGGTTACACGCAGTCTTTATGCTTTAATAAAGTTTTTTTTTTTTTTTTTTTTTTTTTTTTTTTTTTGTACAATGAGGTAACCAACATTATCCTGACAATTTTTCAAGGTGGAAGAAGCAAATTTTCACAAATCTTTTTTTAAAAATCTTAATTTGAGAAAATTAATGAAATTGCTGTACATTACTGGAAAATCAAAGAATTTGTTTTTTCAGACTGGTATATAAAGGTTTTTTCAGTTATTTTTTTTTTTCTTCCTTTATATTCAGATATGTTAGTTTTTAGATGGTATATTTATTAAGGAGTTGAATAAAAATTGTTCAGTTAATTTTATATATACCAATAACTGACTCTGTACCTGTAGATATTAACTGACTCTTACTGAACGCTGCCTTACTGAAATCTCTTAATACTCCAACTCAATGCATGAGTGGTCAGTGAAACTAGCATGCACTCTTTGGTAGGCATCCAGCTCTATATTGTAAATCAGAACTGTTCATTCATTGCTGGATAATCTAACAATGTTAAATTATAGAAATTTTTGAACTAACAAGTTTAGAAGGATAATTCTTAGCTTTAAAAAACTTTGTACTTGAAGATTATTTAAGAATACCCACTTATGCTTTTTTGTGTGTGAGTGTGAGAGATCATGAGGAACTATATTAAGCTTTGAATTCTGTTCACTGCTGGACCATTTCCCCTGAACATTTTGAATAATGAAAATCTAATTTCTATTGTAAAAGTGAAAGTAATACTAAATCCGTAAATGGTAATTTTGCCATTTCAATTATTAGTTGGTTGTCCTGTTCACCAAACTAAGATTAATATCTATCGTTCAGAGAGAGGTTTTTCATATTGAGCTTTTAAAATCACTTTCTACTTGTGACAGCTGTGGTAGAACAGTGGTATGATATGTGTCTCTTAAATCTGTTTAGATTGTCTGATAACTGAGCATGGATACAGATAATTAGAAACTGGGAGTAATATCAACCATTGCAGATGTTCATCTTTTGATTCTATAGATTTTAAATATATCCTTTTTTTTTATTATTTTAGTATTGGTTTTAAGGAATAATGTTGATTGATTGATTTCTTTTATTTTTTTTTTATTTCTTCTTTCTTATTCAGGTGTTTTAGAAGAAGCAGAATTTTATAACATAACTCCATTAATAAAATTGGTGAAAGAAAAGATTACAGAACGCAATGCGAAACAAGATCAAGTAAGTTCTTTAAGAACTTTTTTCTTTTTGTCTTCACTGCTAATTCAAGTAAGTGGCAGACAAAGAGAAAGCTTATTGCAAAAAAAAAATTTTGAGAATTGTATGATTTTATTTTTATTTTATTTTATTTATTTATTTATTTATTTTTTTTTTTTAAATTAGTCTGAGTGACTTATTTTATTTTATCAAAAATACCATAATGCATTTTTTAAAATTTGTAATTATTTTATATGTACATTTTTTAATTTATATATCTGATTACAAATGGCTTACATTTGTGCCAGAAGGAAAAATTTTACTTTATATCTCATGTTACATATTTTGTTTTAAGATCAAAGGAAAAACAAATTTTTTTGCCATAAAACAAAACAGAAAAATATCAAACTATTATTCTAAAAGCCCAATACTATCAGTAATGCCTGGATTCATTCCTGACCACTGACTATCCCAAAAATTCCTGATTTTATGGTGATTCTTTTACCCTCTTGTATCAAAACTGACTCAGTAAAAGTGGGCTATTAAAAAATATTACTTTGAGAGGAAGCTAAAAATGTACTCTATTATATCTTCTAGATCTGCATAAGATTTATAGCAAAGTATAGAAGGGGTGCTGAAGTTTTTGGTTTGACCCTCTTCCCATAATGTGACCATGCATCAGAATTTTTTTTTTTTTTTTTTTCGCAACATACTATATTGATATCATAAAATGTCCAGGTCTATATTGGTTATGCTCGTACATTTAGTAAATCAGTGTAAACATCAACTCAGCTGTTAATGGTGTTTATAAAATAAAATAAGACTTATCTCAGCTGATTTACAGGCAAATACTCGAGAGCGAGAACCGGATGTGAACGGGACAAAGCCCCGTCACAAAATGACCATTATCTTTCTTTACAAATGTTCCCGACACACGTGTTCCGGTCAAAAAATAAAATAATATTTAAAGTGCTCTATTTTTCGTCCAATAAAAATGCTTCCCTCCTAATTATACTCGCTTCATTTTTCGAGCCTGTTAAGCCATAAAAAAACTCTATAAAAGGAGTCACAAGGAAGTTCAACAGGCAGTCACAAAAGAGACCTGTCACGGTCAGGCAGCTGTCAGCAGAGGAGCATCAACCACCATCAACATGTGTGAACTACTATGAGGGATCGACCTAGATCCGAAGCCGGCTTATGAATTTTACCACAAGGTAGCTGTCCCAAACCCACACGTTCCTGTTGAAATAAACCACGTAAATCTATTTCTGCTGTTGTCGTATTTCTTTCTTGCAACCATACGCTTGTCTATAACACTGGTGTCGGAAGCATACAGCAAGAGAAATATGGGCGACTACGAAGCTTCACCGAGGCGAACTATTTACTCTCATCAAGGAACAGAAAACATTACTATTCAACTTGAAAACGGGACCAACACAGCCTTCCGAAGTCACGATACAGGAAATTCAAGCCGACATAAACGACATGCTGACTGCCCTAAAATCAACTACTTCAACACCTCCCACCACTCAAACGGCGATTATAGCTTAATGATGCGTCAACAAACTATACGCGACATATTGAAGCTAGAGAGAACTTTTCACCCTGGACACGACGTGAACCGATTCATCGCGGCCCTAATCAAAGCGTACACAATCCACGTCACGCCAGAACTCAGCACCTATACCAGCCTGGAATGTAAATTTGTCAAGTCTGCTAAAGATTTACTGGACCAAAGTATCTTTCAGCAGATGGTTGACTCAAAAAAGGACATATCCACCTTCGAACAACTGAAGGAATACTTATTAGGAGCCCATGGAAGCCAGATGACTAACTTCCAACACCTCGGTCAAGCCTGGGATCTGGAACTGTGAGATGGCGAAAAATTAACAGACTTCGCGGGTCGACTCGAAAACACCCTTAGAGAGGCAGCCGTCCACGTAAAAAACAAATATAAAAAAGACAAAAAATATCGACTTAACAGTCGATGGACTTATTTCCATCATTGGCGCTATGCTAATGAGCGAAAAGGTGAAAATTTGGAACTCAAATCTTTACCCACATCTCGTCAAGACAATGGACAATCACTATTCAGCCATTGGCATAGCCTTCGAAGCTCAAATATACCTTGATCGCGGTGTAAAATCCAACGACACAACTTCACACAACACTGTATTTCACACAGAAACCACAGCGGTCAAACCAAAGAAACGTGCCACTCTGACCCAGCAGCCAACCAAACCCACAGCAGACGGGCCTCACCAACCCTCCCGAACATGGCCACCATCCGACATGCAGAAACCATCAGCACACACCACAAATCAGCATGTGCAAGAACTACATCAGAGGTCACCCCTGCCACCATGGACGCAACTGCCTATGACACCCACCTCGCACTTGGGCACAGGCCCATATCGCCGCAACGAATGATAATATACAAGCCATAAATGATGTGGAACAGGATTTTCGCTTCAGGCAGGACGAGATGTGATGCCTCGTTCGCCATGCCCCTATGTCAGCCATCACACCTTCAACTTTCAAGGACTCGCTCACCATTCACCGCTCGTCCAGTCCACCTTCAACTTCAGGGACATCACTTTCTCTGGCGTAGCAATGCTAGACTCTGGATGCTCCACCTGCATCTTACCAATATCTCAGTTACCCAGAGAAGCCAAGAAATTCATGACCTACTCCGACGTTGTAGTAAAAGGAATCAACGGCGGCACCACCGCCCTTGGCGAACAGACTTGCGACATCACCATCGGCAATCGAGACTCACCCACATTCAAAAAGGTTAACGTGCTGGTAACTACCCAAACCACACCGATCCTGATCAGTCAAAATATCCTATGTCACAACACGCTCGATTCCTATCTAATTGACAACCAAAATGCGACTATAGAATTCAGGCGCACACTTTCCTCAGGATGCACAACACACACAGCCGCAATCATATCACCGTCGTCATCAACCAACGATCCAGCATATGGCGCCCATGCTAACATCATCCAAAACCAGCCTACTATGGAATTACAGCCCAACAGCCAGACACTGGATCAAAAGGTAACTTGGCTAAAGCATAACATGAGGCTATCGCTACCAAACCACCCAAATCAAGACGAACTAGAGGCCACTGCAAACTTACTCATTCGCTACGCTGACATTATCGGCACAGAAAGCAGCAGCAAAGGCACATTCGTCCGACCCATCCGCATACCAACCAACGGCCAGTCTCGCAGCCAGAAACAACACCCGATAGCCCAGGCTTTGGAAGCAGATGTAGATACCGAAATTAAGCGCATGGCTGATGAAGGTATCATTGAAAACTGCAGCGACCACAATAGCCCTGTATTTGCCGTACGCAAGAAAAATGGATCGATTTGTGTTGTTGCTAACTTTAAAAGAACTCTTAACAAGGTCTTAGTTGATCTTGACCCTTACCCAATGCCAAGGATCGACCACTTGTTCAACAAAATCAACAAAGGCAATAGATACTTTACTACCCTCGATCTACGCAGCGGCTACTGGCAAATTGAGATTGACAAGCGAGACCGATACAAAACAGCATTTACATGGAAAGACCAATGCTATCAATACACGCGCCTGGCCTTCGGCCTTACATCTGCCGGACAAATCTTCTCCCGTTGCATAGCAGAAGCCCTAGCCACGGTCACATCCTGTGACAACATTTCCTCCTATATCGACGACAACCTGGTCCACGCTAGGACATTTAGGGAGTACATACTCTCCCTCGAACAATAAATCAAGGACCGTCTCTCTTCACCACCCGTCATCTCGTTTCCAGATTTCTCCAAACTTTTCACACTCACCACCGACGCCAGTGACGTCGCATGTGGAGCAATCTTAATGCAAGAAGCCGACAATGGGAAGAAAGATATCATAGCGGTCGCTTCCCATACATTCAACTCCACGGAACAGAACTGGTCCACGACGGAACGAGAGGCATACGCAATAAAGTGGGCAATATTGAAATTTGATTATTTCGCCCAGAACCGCTCCTTCGTCATCTTCACCGACCACAGATCGCTGACATATCTGGACCAACGAGAGTTCAATAATGCCAAAATACGACGATGGCAAGAAGAAATTTCATGTTATAAATTCGTCTTGGAAAATGTTGAAGGCGAATCAAATGTATGGGCTGACATGCTCAGCAGAGGTTGCGGACATAAGAAAACAAAGCCCCGTCACAAAATGACCATTATCTTTCTTTACAAATGTTCCCGACACATGTGTTCCGGTCGAAAAATAAAATATTTAAAGTGCTCTATTTTTTGTCCAATAAAAATGCTTCCCTCCTAATTATACTTCCTTTTTCGAACCTGTTAAGCCATAAAAAAACTCTATAAAAGGGGTCACAAGAAAGTTCAACAGGCAGTCAACAGGTGGTCACAAAAGAGACCTGTCATGGTCAGGCAGCTGTCAGCAGGGGAGCATCAGCCACCATCAACATGTGTGAACTACTATGAGAGATTGACCTAGATCCGAAGCTGGCTTATGAATTTTACCACAAGGTAGCTGTCCCAAACCCACACGTTTCTGTTGAAATAAACCACGTAAATCTATTTCTGCTGTTGTCGTATTTCTTTCTTGCAACCATACGCTTGTCTATAACAATGGCAATGTAATGTAAATTATTATAGTTTGAATAGGACCTGAGAGTATACACCAGTTAAATGGGACATTCCATTTTTGAAATTGTTAGGATGTTTGACATATGTCAGTCTATAGTGTCACTTATCTATCGAAAATATCTGATGGAATGCATTACTACTTGCCATGGACATCACAATGGCCAACAATGGGTTCTTAACAAGCATGACAAGAATTGTTTACAGTAACAGACAAGCAACACTGGCTCAATTCACATCTATATTCAATACAGGAGGTACCAGATAGATTTCCAGTAGGTTAGTCCAACAGTTTGGTTTCTGAGGAATATGGGAGCAGAAAACCCACCAAGGCATCCCTGTTAACACCATGATGCTTGATACAGCTCCTCATTTAGGCTTGTGATATCACTAATTGGAGCCTGGATGGCTCAGGCATTGTTTTGGGTTGATAGTGTTCAAATGTTTTTAGATGATGTAATAAATCCTACTCATGTCACAGGTTATATAAAATTCTATGTATATGTACTTGGGCAACAGTCTTTCATTAATAAAATTTGATTTAAGACTACATATTAATACTTTAATTTTTCCTTTTTACTTATAAGTGTGTGTGTATATATATATATATATATATATATATATATATATAATGTAAATGGCCTTGTATGTGAAGTTGTAATACATAAATAGCAAATGCCAAATTTTAGAAATATTTTAATTGAAACACAATATCTATTCCATCCTAATAACCAGAAATATGGTTGAAAGTTCTATATCGCCATCACTTGAGATATATAAACTTGGAATAAAATTGCTTGGGTTGGTGTTGAGGTGTGCAATAAGCTCACCAGGAGTGTTTGATCCCTTAGTCTTCATTGGTGTATCCTACTCTGATACAACACCTGAGGCTTGAGAATCCAATAATGCTGGTTGGTTCTTAGGATGATAGCCCAAAATGAATAAATTCTATCCTAATATTTTATTTTCTATTTTCATAAAAGTTTACCAAACTTAGAATAACATTAGTTCTATGGTTGATCCACATGATAAATGTTGTAAGAATCAAGAGTGATTTTATGGAAAATTGAAAGCCAAATGACATATGGACATGTTGCTACAAAACAATGGCTAAAAAATTTTCACGGACAAATAACCACTACTTAAATGGTGAGCTGCTTAACTAGCTTCTCTTTTGCTAACAAGTACTACTGTGCTGAGTTCAGTCCTTGCTGATTCTCATATTTGTGGCCTTTTGCCAGGCTAAACAAAACTTGCTTATTAGAGGTAGCTTGTCTCGTAGCTGGGAGATAGATATAAAATCTAGTGCTAGGGGTATGCAAGTTCAGATAAAGGCCAGTATTTCAAATACTGACTCCCCCACCAAGGAAAGTACAAACCCACACCACTTGTCAAATTGGTGGAATAGAATCTTCCTATCTCCATTTTAAAGTAAATATCAGTCACTAAATGGTATGTACCTTCTTTAAAGGAAACTTTTGAATGGAAATCAGCATTGCCTAAATAAATTGCAAAAGTAACACAGATCTCTGCATAAGCCAATTGTTTTAGGTAGGCCCACATAAAAATCCAAAGGATTGAGGTTGTGGGCATGCAGGCTATGGCACCAGTCCTCCCCTAGCTATCCATCTTTCATGGTAGATGTCATCCAGTGCATTGTGAACAATGTGACTAAAATGTGCAGGAGCCCCATCATGCATGAAGCACATGCATCTTGGTATTAGCAGGAGTACATTCCCTAGCAGGTCTGGAAGTGTGTTTGAAATAAATTCCCTGTAGGCAGCTCCTGTAAGATGTATTGGGAGAACATATGGGCCTACCAGATAGTTAACTACCATTCCAGCTCACACATTAATCATAAACTGGTGCTGATGTTTAGCCATGTATTGTAACCTGGGATTCCGATTCACCCACAAATGTTGGTTGTGTAAATTTGCTATTTCATCTCTTCCAAATGTTGCCTCATCCATAAACAAGACTGAAGAGACAAACAATGAATCAGCAGTTTGTGCAATAAACCATCAGCAAAAGTTTTCCTGTGGTAAGTGATCAGAGCACAAAATATCCTGCACACATTGCAAATGATACAGATACAGGAGCTGCTCTTGAAGTACCATCCATGTGGTATCATAAAATGTACAACATGCTAAGGCCACTTGACATGTGCTGATACCTGGATTGTCTCCAACAGCCTGTAGAATGTGTTCTTTGTGGTTAGGTGTACAAGTGGATCTCGGTCTTCCTCAATCCATCGTTTGTAGTACCACAGATCCTGTCTTAGCAACATGATGATAAACAGCAGCAAAGTTTGGATGACTCAGTTGCCTTTGACTTGGAAATGCAATCTGATACAGCTGTGTAACCTCATGTCCATTACCATTCATGCAGCTGTATGTAAAAATCATATCTGCCTACTCATGATATCAATATCATGCCATTGTTATATGGAACACTTCTCAGTTAATTCATTACTACACATGAACATGAATGACAAATGTAACCTAGTCTACATGGCAACATAGTGCCATCTACCGTAAACTTTAAACTTAACTCAAAAACAGGATTTGCAGACATATGTTTATATGGACTTTTGTCATTTTTTTGTTGTGAGGAACCTACCCCCAAATTTTGTTAAAAAAAAAAAAATTATTTTTCATACACCCTATATATACTGATGTCATTTTTCTTTTTCCCCAAACGGTGTTATAATTAACACAAGTTTATTCTTTATATATATATATATATATATATATATATATATATATATATATATATATATATACACACACACACACACACCTACATTAATGTGTAGGTACAGTAGACTAATAAAAGGAATTAAAAAAAAAAAAACAAATATTTATAGCATATTATTAGACCATTCAACAAAATAAAATCATGAGAAAAATGTTAAAAATATATAATCATAGATGAAGACCACATTGCTCTCATGTCTCCTGATCTAACAATTGAAATATTATTTAACAAAAAACAAAACTAAAAAAACTAGGATACTTATATTGTTTTGATGATGTTAGTATGTTTCCACACATTTTTCAGTAGTACAGGGATATTGAAAAGAATAAATCCTTTATCCACAGGTTCATAAAAGATGACAAAAAGAACAACTTGATTTGCTCTAAAATTGTTAACTTTAACATTATTATGTCAAGAGGAAAATAAATTAGGCTTGTAGCTATGATCTATAATTATAATGAAGTCAGAAAATCATAGATAAAAAAATAATTACCTGTGGGCACAGTAGAACAGATCTATGCCTCAGGCATCAATTATAAAAGATTATAAGTTGTGAGTGGTGAGGTAGTTAGTGTGGCAATAAATTAAGCATGGCAGAAAAGCTAGTTTATTTATTCTAAAATATTCTGCCCCAAGATCTTAGTCACCTATGCTGTAATGTTTACATGTAGAAAGCCTCAAGAAACCTGGTGATCTTTTCTCATTCTGCTTCTGCTGTAGAAAAAAAAATAGCCTCAAATATATCATAGATTAAATATCTGATGGTAGCAAATACATCATAGATTACCATATATACTTGAGGACAGGTTATGTTTTTGTTTTCACTAAAATTTCAATAAAAATCAGAAATCCATTCAACATCATAGAGAATCTGAAGTAGACTGTGGCATATCAGTAGTCCAGGCAAGTACCCTGGGCTGTAGCATAATCAAGAGCAAGGGAAAAAATTGATATTTCCCAACATTTCAACTTTATGTAATCACCTCTTCCAACAGTACTGTCACACATCAAATAAAAGCACTTGATCTGTACTGTTCGTATTTATTATTTATTATCTGATTTATGATGAAAGATGATCACTTTCAAGTGATTTTAGGACTGAAGCAATTACTGATATCCAAATTTTCATCTAAACAGAGCAGCCTCGCACTTGATAAGTAAATACCACACAATTACAACCAATCACTTTTCTTATGTTTTAATATATGTAAGCAAAGTTTTGAGATAAAGGTAAATATTTAAAAAATATTTTTTATAATCATGTTACAAAAAGGATCATGTAACTCCCCAGATTATAGTGCAACCTATCTGCAAGTCAACTGCAAATACCCACTTTGACAACCCCAAATTCTGGGTGAAACCTACCTACTGGCAAGACCTAATGTGAGTATGTATGGTAACTGCCTCATGGTAGCAAATGTGTCATAGATTATATTGCTCTGTGGTAGCAAATATGCACCAACCTTAAGAATTTGGCTTAGATTTTTTTTATTGTCATTAAATAATATAGATTAATTTTCTCTAGCAATGCAAGTAATAAATCTGAGAAATATGGCAAATTGTAGTTCATGTTTTTAGACAGTAGCAATAATACACCATATATATATATATATATATATAGGTAAGAACATTAGAAAAACTTGAAAGAACTTATAGAATTTTTCTTGTCTGTCACATTCAATGAAACTTGTATAAATATATTCTTTATATAGATTTACTAGAAAAAAATAATTCCTCCTATTTTATTTTTCAGACACACATGAAAAATGTTTATAGAGTTCTTCAGTGTTCAGAAGAGGAATTGACACAGATGGTCTCCACAATGTCAGATGGTTGGAAGTTTGAACAGGTAATCAAATAGCCTCAGATTTCATCACATCTTTATGGAAATATTTAAATTATTTCTCCTATTATTATTATTATTATTATTATTATTATTATTATAAATGCAATTAAAAGTATGCTTCTGATGGTTTAATCTATGTGTGTTGACAAACTTTGACTGGTATGATTCAGTTTGTAATAAAAATAATTTTTTATTTTCAAAAACTAATCTACAAAGTAACAACTACCTTTCCACCCCCCAATTTGTGTGCATTAAAAACAAATTGCTAAATAGTTTTTAATAAGTGAATAATCTTGACTAAGTGAGGTGAATTTAATGCTTAGAAGTAATTTTTTTAAATTTTTTTTAATTTTTTTTTTTTTTTTAAATAGTTTCTGAAAAGGTTTTTAATATACTAGTGCATATGAAGCTTAATTGTAGATTCAAATACAAGTTAAAAATGTACTTTTCTAATGAATTAATCATACATTTTTAAAAAGCAATAGCACTCTACTTATCAAATTAAAAAAAAATAATTTGGCCATTATGTGTGTTATTTCAATGAATCTGATATTGTAAAATACTTGTTAGATTTGAAGAACTTTAAGGTTTAGAATGCAAACAAAATAAAGACTTAATTAGATGCTGACATTACAATTCTATTGCTCTGCATTATATATATATATATATATATATATATATATATATATATATAAGTAATGTAATAAATGATCTCACTACTTTTTTTAAATAAGACACTTGAAACCTAAAAAGGCCTGTATTTTCACTCTGGATTTTAAAAAAAACTTTCCTCTCCTCAAAGCCCCCACCCACCCAAATCTCACAAAATGATTAGCTAAGCAATTTTACTCTCGTTCATATTTGCTATAAAAGCAGACTGTTTCTTATTTGCTTTTGGAGAATGACACCAATTAAATTTTTCTCTCTTCATGAAATTGAGCTAGAAACAAAAAAAAAAAAAAAAAAATCTTTGTTTTGCATGATGTTAAATATTCATTCCACATTCCAGCTGTCCATCTTTTAGGGTTTGTCAAACTGATCTTGAGTTATATTACAGACATCATATTTTTTGTTTTGGCATGTAATCCAAAAAAATATTTGCTGTAAAGAATTGTACATTCAAATGGAAAACCAGCTGCTATTGCATAAAGATATTGATTGCATTTTATGTAGATAGGTGGATTTTATTATAAGTACCTCCACTAATTTCAGTATACATAAGGTTTAAAATGATTTTTTAAAAAATGAAACTCTTTCATTTCAGAATTAACTGAAAGCTAAAGGATTTAAAATTTACTATTTCCAGAAAGTAAAACACTCTGGTCTATTTGAAACAGAAATTATATTGATCAGAATTGATCAAAAGTACCATTTTTGACACCTTCTTTAAACAAAAGTTAATTCTTGGTTTTAAAAATTTTGCAAAAATATATTTCTGAAATGTTATTTGAGGAAAATTAGCAAATTTCAAGTTAAATTAATCTGATTTGAAACAAATATTACTTATTTATAGCATAAAATGTTGTATATAAACATTTCTTAACTATGGGGTCTTATTTTTCTGACGTTTTAATCAATTTATTTACATTTGATTGACAGCCAAATGTGTACATAGTTAAGTATGATGATGCAGATAAGTTTTTTTTTTTTTTTTTTTTTCCCACTGTAAATGGGAACAACTCTTAAAACATGTGACCTTTTTAAATGCTAGATTTATCAGTTTGTACATCCATACTTCAGAAATTCTGCACGTAATCAGACATGCAAAAACAAATCTAAATTCTTTAAAAAATATTCAGGGTTGTCAGATTGTAATAAGATTTACAATATAGGATTAGTAAATATATTTGTACTTAATAACAATAACAATATTTCCTAAGAATTATCTCATTGAAAATGAATTTTAAAAGATTTAAAAACTTTATTATTCAATTTAAAATTGTAAAAAAACAAAAATGAAAACAAATCTTGTAAAAAAAAAAAAAAAAAAAAAAAAAAAAAAAAAATTAAATTTATTATTCATAAAAGCAATTAAAAGCTTCTCTAATTAATTAACGTCTTTTATTGCATTTTTTATTTTTCAATTCAGAACAGATTTTCAGTAAGGCTGGGTCTGATTCTGCCAAAAAAAATTTCAGCAATTTAAATTCTTCAAAGAATTCTTCTTTTAACTAATATAGTCACTAAAATTATCTCTATGAATTTCTCAAGTTTTCATAAAATTAAGTAAAGGGCTGAAACACATGTTAAAAAAAAAAATTTACCAAGATTTTCTAATAAAGAAAATCATTTATTTCTGTATAAGTCCTGAAAATTTCATTAAAATCTGTTCATTTTTTTTTTTTTTTTTTTTTTGCGCAAGAATTTCCAATCAATGTGTCTGTCACCACAAAATGAGGCAAAAATTTGCTATACTAAAAGTTAGTACAGCTGCTGATGCAAGAAAAACAACTTTTTAATCAAAATATTGAATGTTCTAAAAGGGTGTATAAAAAAAAAAAAAAAAATTAGAAACATTTTGATCCTACCTCTTAATAGTAACATAACAATTATGACAATAAAACTGTTTTCATTACAGTATGCTGCTGATTTTTAGCGTTTTCATGGAGATGCCTATTTTATTATGTTATTGAAGGAGGTATTAATTTGACTTCCAGAACTGATTTCTGTGTTGCACAATGACAAAAGGCCAATCTTAAGAGTCCTGTGTATACATGTGGATGGTTCCAGAAATTGTTCAGTTCCTTTGGCACTTCTCTGTTTGAAATGCTTCAGACATTATGGATTGACTGCCGATCCACCTCCCCACTCCCTTTAAGTTCACTGGGGAAACTTCAGCCTGCATGTCTTGCAACTAGATTTTAATTTGTGCTTCCATTCTCATAAAAAGGACAAAAATCAATGATCAAAAGATTGGTGTAACAGTAGTAAAAAAAAAAACCTTTTTTGTGTGTGCATGATGTGGGGAGAAGTGATGTTTTTCTTTTTGGAATAACAAAACAACCCTGGAAGATATGAAGTGATTGCAGCTTGTTAGCTCTTGTACTAAAAGTTGACAAATGATTAACAATAACATTAATACAGGATAATTTTTTATTTTTGTTTGGTGGGGTGTGGTGGTTTCAAAAAGAAGTTAAAAAAAATATATATATGGTAGTTTTTGTCTGTCTAGTCCTATTAAATAGCCTATTATTCTTTGGTAGATGGAAATAATTTAATTCAGTACTTAATACTTGCTTTTCTATATTGTAAAATAAATCTTTATTGTAATATCAATCTCTGTCAAATTCTCTAAGATATTTGGATAAACATTTTTCACATAAAGTATCATTAAGTTTACTAAAGATAGATAACAATGCAAGTTGTACTGAGTAAAAATGGGTTTTAATTTGATGCATGCTCCAGATTTTGGGGCAGAATATATAAACCTTTCTTGTGTAGAATTTGTAAGTCTTATTTTTAGCTGCTATAATAAATTTAATGCAATTACTGTTGGTAATACCATTGCAATAAACTTAAATATGTAATCTATTTGTTGTTTATTTGAACTCAACAGCTGTATATTAACCTTTTATCACTCTGTATGCGACTTCCTTTGCTGCACAAAAAGTTTATCTTGCCACTGAAGATGACTCTGATCCCTGAACAGTAGTATTTGAATTTTATATCTGTGTTGTCATATCCTTCTATGGCAGCAGAAAACAACTTTAAGTGAAATTAACAATAAGAATACACTAATTGAGAGACCTTGAAAAAAAAAATGCATTGGAAAGGGAAGTAATAATGCAGTGTGCTAAAGATTAACATGCTTTTAAAAATTCCTCCATATCTGCAGCCACAAAATTATTTCTGACTACTTGTGTTTGTTGCCTGTAGAAGAAAAAACAGCTCTTGAAAGAAAAATTGATTGTAATTTTGCTGTGGAATCTCTTGATAAGTTTTAGAATTAAGTGTGGCTTTGAAGAATTTGTTCTATGAATCACCATAGTAAAATGCTATCATTCCCTGCATATAATTTTAGTTTTTTACAATCCTGACTAGATAACTTTCACTGCTGCATTATTAGCTGGTTGTGCTGGCCTGTTTTGAAGAAAAATATTAAATTGACATTTATTTATAGATCTGACACTAAGCTATGAGTTTACAATGCCACCATCTTCTGTGCTATTATACAGCACCGAGATGTGGCCTCTTGGCAAGACCCTTGAGTCCTGTGTCTGTCCCATGACATCAGCACTATTGAGGGGTTGAACTGGTTCAATTTTTTTTTTTTGTGTCCAATGAGGAGTGCCGTGGGAGGATTGGCCAGCCAAACATCCTCTGCGTCACCATTTAGTGCCATGTACACTAGCTCAGTCATGTCCTGCAACACCAGATTACTACCCTACCAGAGTCATCTACTGGTTCGACATGACATCTACAAACTAGCAACAACTTTGTGGCAGATCACAAAATCACTGGAAGGACATCATCTGCCAGGACATCCTAGTAGATTAATCTGGCGCTGGAGTGTTTCTGGGATCTGCCAAGACAGAGCTGGAAGGACAAGGTGGCTCAATGCCTTCATGGCATGAGATTTAGTAGTAGCAGCAGTCATTTGTTAGAAATAAGTGACTATAAAGATGTTGACAGTGTTTTCACTTGGTCACCACCATTTTGGTTTTGACTGGATACCCTGCAGTACAGACTAAGCTAAACAACACCTCCAACATAAAAAAATAACAAAATGGGGCCTGTTGCATCCTACTATATTTCTACACTGGTTTGAAAATAATGATAATTTATAACACAATACTAAATCAACTTTTCAGTCTCTCAAAAACGTTTGTTGACAGCAAGTTTCATAAAAAGCATAAGTATGTTCACTGTTCTGGAAATATTAAACTTCACTTGCTAAAAACTGGAACTTGCTTTATAAAATAACTTTTACTGGCTGTGAAATTTTGAAGAAATGTTTCTTTATACCTTTTTATTTATTGTAACATTTAAATTGGATTGCATGATTTTAGGAATCTTATTTGAGAGTAAATTGAATTAAGAAACCTCACAATTCATTTTATTTTCTCATGAGATTCAATGAGTAGCACTCAGATCTTGTAACAGTGCTATATTAGAGATTTTCAGATTTAAAAAAAATATAAGATACTGTCTTTAAAGAAATGAATACCAAAAACCAGCTAAATTAGTTTATCAGTCCTCTTCAAAGCTAAATCAAGAATGAAAAATGTGCACAGCAACTAAAAATGAACCAAAGACCAAATGTTACAGGCTTACTTTACTTATCTTTCAAGCCTACCAGCCACTCCTGCTTGCATAGAGATGGCTGGTAGGACTTAATGTAAACAGATTCCAACAGCTTCAAATGAAATTCAAAATTAGTCTTCCTCCATACTTAGAATATGTCTCGGCTTTATTCTTAAATTACTTTATGGTTTTAGAGAGATTTTTTTTTCTCATTTAAAGAACAAATGAAAAATAGTAAATCATAGGGTTTATCAATCTGAAAGTTTTCAAAACGTCTTTCCATGTTGTTTATTCTCAGTGTTATTTTAATTAACTAATTCCCACCAATTATGAAAAAGGATTTAGATAAAAGTGCAAAATTAACTTAAAATTGGAGCATATTTTTATATTTTGAATAAAAATTTTGCATTTTTTAAAAATCCAGAAATTAACAAGTTTTCAGTGTGTTCCAATTTCAGCAAATGTAAAAGATGAATTACATGTTCAGTATGTTTTGAATGAATTTATATATATTATTGCCTTTTTATGAATGTTACTTTCTTTTCTGTAATTTGGCCCTTTTTAACTTGTTCTTTCTATTTTTCAGCTAATAAATATTGGTTCTCAGTATACATATGGAACAGAAGACCATGTAGAATTTCTGTGTGTTGTATCCAAAGAATGTCCTAATATTGTTAATGGGCAAGAAAATGAACCTACTGACAGAGCAAAAGTAAGTTATTTGTATTTTCTTTTCTGAGATTTTTTCTTTTTATTTATTTATTTATTTATTTATATCAATTCTATTTCTCAACCTATTTTAGTAATGTAATCTTTCAGAGAAAATTACAAAGAAGAAATCATTAATTTCCTTAATCTACTTTTAAAATATCAGCTGCTTATCTTCCAAGGTACAGATAAGATTTAGTTCATGATTAATTTAATTTTTATAACCCTATCAGTTCTCATGACAATAATTTTGGTTGTCCTTTTTCTTTTTTATATTTTTAATTCTGCATATTGAGAACCCTTAACGTTCATACTTCATTGTTAATTGTATTTTTTTTTTCCTTTATGTTGATGACAATATATTCTGATTTCTGAAAATGCTCTAGATTACTATCACTTGTCTTTGTAGCCTAGGGGAGATAATTCTTCAAAGCAATATATTATAAATCTATAACAAATTTTATCTATTTGTTGCTTTCCTTATTTCAGCCAGTCTATTCTTCATCTATTCATAATTTGTTAAAAGCTAATTTTATTACACATTTTACTAATTTTGACGAATTTTTAATCTTTTTTTTTGTTTTTTTTGTTTTTTTGTTCATTTTTTAATCATATTTTTAAGCAATCATCTCTATAACTTGTCCCAATTTACTGCAGTTTATATTTATACCTAAAGAATAGATTGGCAAAAAAAAGAAAAATTAAAACTAATAAAAATGTATATTAATCACAGAACAAAGTACCTAATTTCCTAATTTCAAATACGTTGTGTATTTGTAAGGATCTTTAAATAGTAGTTTTCTCAGTAACATAGCTTTATATAGAATGAAATACTCCAGTGTTAACAAAATAAATGGGTCTCCTGCTCAAATCTCAGTTTTAATGTGCCATACTTATTCTAAGTTAATACTACCAAATATAGACAAATGTTGATTGAATTGCAATAATTAACACCTGGAAAATTATTTTTGATATATCTGTGACGGTTACACACCTGGCCCAGGGTCGAATCCCTTGATTACGGCGCCAACTGTGACGTCGCTCCTCCTGGTCGCTCCTCCTGGTTCCAAGCGTGCCGCTCCAACCCCTTGGTTGGATGATCACCAGCCTCGCCTTTCCCAACTCGCTTCCAATACCTGGTTACTGAAGCAACTGTACTGATCTCCGGTCTGTCTACCCACGTTGTGTTTAGATCTTAGACAGATGGGACCAGCAGGGATTGGGGCCGATACAAGTTGAGTCCGACGGGGGTGGCAAAACACAAGTAAAAGAAAAAAAGAAACTCACGAGACAAAAAATTACTGATAAAAAAGGGTGATAACCTTTTATATCTTAATGTCCGCTACATAAAAACAAAATTGTTCTCAATTCCCGACCCGCTCTGTGGACTATGGCACCAAGCTTCTATCACACAACCTAAAGATTTCGAATTGCCTACTCTTTAGAATTGTGTATGTCGGAGTGTGGTTTGGTTCGACACTGGGGCTAATTTCTATCGATCATTCGCAGTTGATTCTTCTCTTCGACTTGAGTTGTATTTCTTCTTCTTCGTCGACTTAGGCTGGAAGTTCTCTTGTCTTCGACTTGGCTGCAACTTCTCTGCAACTCGGCTCTCGAGTAATCTTCTTCTTCGTCTGCTTGGGCTGGGAGTTCTTGCCACAACTCAGCCGCAACTCTCTGTCGTCCGAGGTGATCTCTTCTCGCTGCCGTCCGGGGCTGAACTCTTCTGTCTTCGACTTGGGCTGGAAGGATTTCTTGCCGCAACTCTCTGTCGTCCGAGGTGATCTCTTCTCGCTGCCGTCGGGCTGAACTCTTCTGTCTTGACTTGGGCTGGAAGGATTTCTTGTCTGAAGATTCTTTTTGCCCGCAAAGGGGCGAGTGAATGGGCCCGATGCCCGCGTTCAGGCTCTTTCCTGCCCGTGGTCCAGCTGCAACTCCACTCCAACTGATTTCTGTCGACTGGGGTCCTGCTTTTATTGGCCGCAACAAACTGGGGTGGGTCTGTCGGCGTCAGGGTTTTCTCAATAACTCAAAAGTCGCATTATTTTTGATTTCCCATTATCGCTATTATTTTCACCCCCTACTTCCTCATAGTGCCTTTGGTGGGGGGGCGGCGTATGTCAGGTGACCGCTTTCGACCAATGGTTCCTGATCGAGCATTTCTTTCTTTTCTTTTCCGCAGCCACGTGACCATTTTCGACTAATGAGACTCTGGTTGGGCGTTTTCCTGCAATCAATCGGGCGGGCTTATATCGTTCTTGTTCTAAAAAACAAAATCTAATTTGGCCTTTTTTTGCACGTCTAAAAAAAAATGATAATCTTGGCTTTTTTCTCACCTGGGTTTTGTCAACACAGCCTGCCGCTAATTAGATGCAACTTCAGGGAAGAATATTGGCGCTATCTGTGAACTGAGACAATCGTTTTTTTTTCACCTCTTGTTTTTGGTCAGACCCGACAGTCAGAAAATCTTAATTATCTACATTGAAAATATCTTTCACTCGTCAATGTGGGGGTTCTAATTTTTAACAGGTCAGAATCTGTATACAATTCCACCGGTCCTCCCCTCAACCCAAAGACACTTTTTTCTCTGATTAAGATTTCGTTTCTATTGTTTTAAAAAGAAATTCCCCTTTCTCCAATTTGACAATGAGTCTTTCCACATAAAAAGTCGGTCATGTGCTCCGACCGATATTTTTCTTTATTATCAATGTTTATACATTCTTATCAAAATGACTTTCCTTCCAAATAACAATCCCTATTGTCCTTTTCGAAAATCGGCCAAGATGTTGGCCTAATTACCTTTCTGATATGTGTTTTTGTTAATGACCGCTTTTTGTATTTCTCGACCTCTCTCTTTTGCTTTTTTCTTTCTTTCTTTCTTCTTTTTCTTTCTAATTCTATTCTTCCAATTGTCTTTAAAAATTCGGCCACACGCAGGCCAAGATATCTTTCTGACACTTATCTTCGCTTATGACTGGGTCATGCATCATCCAACTCTCCCTCTTTCCCTCTTCTTCCTCCTCCTCTCTCTTCTCCCTCTCTTTTCTTTCCTCTTCTTCCCTTAGGATCGTCTAAGTACAATCTTAGTGAATTATTTTCAACTCAATTATTTTCCGTTTTAAAAAAAATCAACAACTTGTTTAGTAAACCGAGTAAGAAAAAATTAAATCATATTTCTATGAATATTTCTAATAATGCAAGGTGCCACATATCTAATGATAAGCTAATGCTTTCCTCCTAAGTGAATGAAGTTGAAACAAAGATCTGCAGATAGTTATTTGACTTATGCCATTACTTTAGCTGTTGCTGATTTAACAAGTAAATTTTTTTTTTTTTTCTTGCCAGGTATTACAGCAGAAAGGATCTCGAATGTGAAGCTCTTTTTTTTTTTTTTGTCTTTTTTTCCCCCCCTTCCTCGTTTTATCGGCTGCTTTCTGCAGATGCTGTTGAGTAGGTGAGATGCTGGACACTGATGATGAGGATGGTAACTATGATGATTAAACAATGATGGCAGCACCAACGCCAGCAGCTGTGGTCAAGGGCAGACACGTAAACTACATACCTGGACAAAGAATATAAATACATATATACACATACATGCACACATACACTAATATATATATATATATATATATATATATATATATATATATCACACACACATTTGAACATGTATAATAAAAGAAAGAAGAGATGCTCACTTCTTGATTCTTTTTCTAGAAAAAAGAAAACCTGGAAAAACTTAGATGGGAAAGGAAGTGAAAAAGTAGGGAAAAAAAAAGAAATAAAATTGATGGTATGATTGTGTGTATGTATATGTGAGATTGTGTATGTATATGAAATATTGTGTATGCAAGGGAGGCAGTGAGGTTTGCATCTGCACATAATCCCCAAGAGGTGAAAAAAAAACCCTTGGAGAGAAGAGAAAAAATGGTGTTTCCTGATTTTACTTTTTTATTTTTTATGTTCTTTTTTTGTCCTCCTGGGATTTTTTTTTTCTCTGTGTGTGTGTGTGTGTGTGGTTCCTGTTATCACACTTAACTTGCTGATTATATTTACACATAAAAACATGTATACAGACACCCAATTTTACATATACACATATGTAATGAATGTTTGTATATATGTACACCACTTCATAAATAACCTTAAATCTAAACATCCAGGATTCATCGTGCATAACATATATGCATCTGTATGCATATACACATTTTGACTCCCTCTCTCTCTCTCTCACATATATATATATATATATATATATATAGTTGCACTTATATTTATTTACATATAAGTACACTAAAATATTGATTAGATGGGAAAGGAAATGAAAAAAGCAGAAAAACAACCAAATAAAATTAATGGTAAGATTGTGTGTGTATGTATGTATGTATATGAAAGATTGTGTATGGTGCAGTTTTTATCACATTCCACTCAGCCTGGTCATTTAAACCTCCTACCACCTCTCCATCTTTTTCTTCTACTTTTGACTCAAATTTAAAGAAAAAATAATTGAGTTTTGTTTTCCTAAACTGCATTCCCCCACTCATCTCAAAAATCAAGAATGGAGATGGTCAGATTAATTATTTCTTGACCCCTCGCTCTCTCTCTTTTTCTCTCTCGTTCTCGCTCTCTCTCTCTCTCTCTTTTATCAGGCATTATATTCTATATATGCATTTTTGTTTAAAATAAATGTTTGTAGCCTCAAGCTTAGTAAAATTTCCTAAGAGCAAGGACATCCTCATACAGTGAAAATTCGTTTTTACATATGAAAAAAATGAAGAGTATTTACTTGGTCACATGGACATTTTATCACAGATCATTTCCAGATTTTTTTTATTTTTTTATTTCTAAACTAATTTCCCGTTTTTTTTTGTTTTTTTTCCTCTCTCTTCCTTCTATTATAAAAAGAAAAGATAATAATTTAATATTCATAAAAAATGCACATTCAGAATATAGAGCCAGGTAAAAAAAAAAAAAAAGTATGACAGAAATTTTTTCCTCCTAATTTTGTGGAGGTATGTACTGCTTCTTAGAAACAAAACTTTTTTTTCTTCATATGATTATGCTAATGTTTTTCATTTTTTTCTTTGTTCTGCTGCTGACTTGAGTTTCTGTTTTTGTATCCCAAATTTTGAAAATAATTTTTTAAAATCATAATTAAAATCTTGTTTAAAATTTTTTTCATTTTTTTTTTCTTTTTCTTTCTATCCCATGTATTTCTGAATTCTGTTTTTTTGAGGTTTTTATTTTAACATTGTAAATTTTTTCTCAATGCTGCCACCACCAAAACATTTTCTGCCTCATGAAAAACTGAGCACCCTGCATGATCAACATTTATTGATGCAAAAATGATTAAAACTGCACAATTATTGTGCAAACTACTGCTGTTCTCTTGCTATTTAAACAGGCAACATATCAAAAAAAATTTAATAATGGAAACTGCTTTGTCAATAATTTTAACATTTATAAAACGTAAAATTGAAAGGTATTTTTTATGTGAAGTGTGAAAGAAACAAATATTTCCAAGTTCTTGAAATGATTTTAGTATTAGTTTAAGACATTGAAAATACTCTTTGTGAACAGTAAATGTTTTGCAAAATAACACTTTTTTTGTAAAATAAAAAAATAAATAAAGAAGGGACTCTTAAGAGTTAAATTTTAAGTCTTTTATTATAATTTCTTATGAAAGAAACTCTGTACAAGCTAATATATCTTCAAGGAAAAAAAACTGCTTTTCTAAGGTATATATTGCCTTTTTGAGAACTCAAATGATATTGTGCAATCTTATACAATTTTATGCTCTGGGGCCCTATTCCTTCATCTTTTACAAGTTGGATCTGTTTTCTTTTATCCCTTCATGATCATATATTTGACTTTGATATTTATGGATATAACTGATTCTGAAATGTATGTAAAAAAAAAAAAATGTTCACAATGTTCATGTCTCACTCTTGATAATATTGCACAATATTTCGCGTTGCATGATATTTACTTTTTACTTTATGTGGTCAATGATATTGCGTAATACCTCATTGTTCTGTATTCATCTTACATCTTTGAATAATATTGTGCAATAATATTCCCTATTAACTTTATATATTCATATTATATGCTCAGTAATATCATTCAGTACTGATATACATATTCTTATTGATCAACAACATTGCATGGCATGAAATATTAACATTGCTTGATCAATAATATTGTGCAATATTCAACATTTTATTTTGGCATTCCTGCTGTTGTATTGTGGTGTCGATCATGTAGGGTCCTCTATAACATTCATGCCTTGATAACTGTGGTATATTTTAGTTGTGGACCTTGGAAGGTCTAATTCTTTTGCTGGGCAACATAATTGGTTATATTGGTCCTTGTTTTATCAATATTTTCATCAACTATGTCATTATCTCATCAGTATGTCATTCAGCTTTTAATTCAGAAATCATATTTGGCAACAAGTTTATGACGTGTTTTTTTTTTTTTTTTTTTTTTTTTTTTTTTTTTTCCTCTTTCCTTTTCTAATTTGTATGTAGCTAAATGATAAAACATCTTTTGTGTTTAATATAGAGCATTTATTTTTTTAAACTCTTAGGATATTCAATCTTTTCACTGCTAATCCTCCCCTCATCCACCCACTTATTTTAATTTTCTTTTCATGAAATGATCCTAAATCCACAAATATTTGAAAAAATCAATTTACTCACTTTTCAATCAAAAGGAAAGAAAAAAAAAAATCTTTTTAATAAGTGCTGATTCACAAAGATTTTCTCACAATTTTGGAAGCTGAACCCATTTTAAAGGGTCAAAGCTACAAAATTATATAGTCTCCTTGTTTATAGATTTTTTCAACGTTTTGTATTGATTTGTTAGATTAAGTCTGTTCATTTTTATTTTTCATTATGGTAAAATTATATTTTGATGAAGCCTCCGAGAAAAATGGATATTGGCTTCTATATATATTTTTTTTTTTTTTTTTTTTTTTAATTGGTTTTATAAAATCTGCATTTGAGATGTCACTTTCCATGAATATCAGCAATTCTCTAAAGTCTGTGTCACATTATGGGCATTACTCTCTGGAATCCCTGGAGGTCCTTGCCAAAAAAAAAAATGCTTGCTCATTGAGATTTTTTTTTTTTTTTTTTTTTTTTTTTTTTTGGTGGGTAACATGTTTATGCTCTTTTTCTGGTTCAAGGAAATTGTGATTCCTATAATTATTTCAAACAACTCAAGTTATTGTTTTAGTTAACATTTCATTTTTTTTTTTTTTTTTTTTTTTTTTTTTTTAATCAGTCTATACAATGCTGACCTAACAAATCTGATGGCTCTGCCAATTGTTCACTAATCTATGGGATTGCATACAAATTTCAAATAAATTTATGTCAAGAGTCCTAAAAGTTTTAATTTATGCCAAAGTTAGCTACAGTAAAGTCATTCATGTATTACACCTCTAAATCAGGGGCTCATATTGGTCTTTACTGTTTCAGATTGTGTAATATAGCAATGTGTATTTATGTGTAGGAAGGACTTCAGTCTGGCCTTATTTAAATTATATGGCATGCTAAACCCCCTCCTAGGCTGAGTTGGTTCATACTCCAACAGCCATGGATATTCAAGGTTCTCTTTCTGAGAGAAAATCTAAATGGGAAGAAAATACTGATGTCTATTTTACCAACTACTTCCGATCATTGGCATGTCTTGGTGCACTTTTGTGTATCATTTTACTTTTCATTAACACTGATGTTTGCTCCACACGACCCATGATTCTTTTCTTTTACTCAAGAATTCTATAAGAGAGATCTTCAACCTAGCTTCCCACACCATCTCAGAGTTCAAGTCAAACCTTAATATACCATTCAGTACATTATCTGCTCAGTTTCTTTAATAATCTTTTCATGTCTACTTGTGTTTATTTCCTTCAATGAGTTACATTGTAAATCTTTCTATTGAAAGTGTAAAGTGGTTTTTAGTAGTGTGATGGGATTTTATTTTAATATTATATAAGGCTAAAAAAATTAGTTTTCAATCCATTACAATCACAAAATGAAACTGGTTCAAAGATGTTTTCTACAGGAAAATGTTTAAACGTTTTACTATAGTTTAACCATACCCAGACTGAATTTACTTGTTAATTTCACCAGTTTTAAAGTAATTTGAATTAAAATTCAATTTGTAAGCTATTTCCACAAGTTAACCCCCCCATCATACTAAATACACTGATAGGATTATGCACAAGTTATAATACTAGATGTATTTTTACTCCTGAATATCTGATTTTGGTCATCTTGGTTGTTCTGTTTGTCAATTAGATCACTTATTGTTAATAGTACATGTATTTGAACTTTGGCAGTCATCATTGGAACTAAACTTATCTATTA